ATACAATGGAGAAAACAAAGAGGAAGGTAGGCATACAGAAAAAAAGTAAGACCAGTCCTAACTAAGAGCATCAACTGTCAGGGCTGAAGGGTGAGGAACTAGGGACCAGAAGAGGGAAAGTTTGGGTTTGAAGGAATGGCTAAGGCATTGATGAGAGGCATGCTCAACAAATAGCAAAATGAATGAAAAACTTGAGGGTGAAGAGACCACTCTGTAGATATATATTTAAAATCCTATCTGGCTGAGAGAGGCAATCTACCACCAGATTCGGAGCCTCTGGCACATGAGAAGCTATGAGATAAGCCCAAAACAGTAGATCCATTGCACAGAAGCAGTCCTGGAAAAAGTACCCTCAGATAGTTGATATAAGAAATGACCCTGGGATTGTCGAAGTGGATCATTACCGATTGATTCACAAGATAAGGGACAAAATGAGAACATGCTTGATGAACATCAAGAAGTTTGAGTACTCTAAAGTGGATAGAATGCTCCTCCAGAACTCACACACCCAAAGTTATTTCATTGCTCAGCAAGTAACTGGTTGAAACATGACAGGTCAATAATTGGATCACAGTCTCCAGTACTCTTAGAGACCACAAAGAGATGAGAATAATAACCTGAAGAACATGTTAATCCTCTCTTTATCGTGTTCTTGCCAAGAGATCTGAAACTGCATCCTTGAAACACTTAAATATAATTGGGGAAAGGGGAGGAGGAGAAGAAAATTGGAAAGATAGACTGTGGGTGAGAACCCGTGTGACCAAAGGTTGGTGAAGAGAGAGACAGGCAGGCTTCTACAGGGTCAGACTCAACAGGGTAGTTACCAACAAGACTAGTGATGACCCTGGTGTTAATAAATAGGAGGATGGGAAGGGGAGACATGGATACAGCAGGCCTAGGAGCAGGCACAGAAGGGTAAAGTTGAGAAAGATGAGAAACCAAAGGGAAGAATAAGGATTGATGCCAGACTGCCTCACCCAGGGTCTCTAGTAAGTCAGAAACATACCCAAACACCTCCTGGAAGAGAAAGAGAGCCCAACGAAGATCACGTAGATAAGTGTGAGAAAGGTATACATGAGCTATGAGATTATCACCTCACAAAAAGTCCCAACACCAGAGGAACCAAGTAAGAAAGGACAGAGAAAAAGAAAAAGTACAGGCCAATGTGATTAAAACAGAACAAACCTCTCCAGAAAATGCCTCCAAAATAAGGTGAAGTGATGAGGTGTAATGCAGATGGTAGTAAGAAAGAGAAAAAGGCATGAAAACTGGGCAATAAAAGCAAGTAAAAGATATTCTAAAGACCGGGAATTGAGGAATGGAAAAATTAAAATGATTGTAAGCCAGGACAAAAGAGTCAAGTAGATGAGGTGGATGAGACATGTTAGTACAGGTGCAGAGTTTTTTGAGAAATGAGTCTGC